TTTGAATAGTACTATGGTCTAAGTTAAGCTGCAGCATCATTTTGAGACCAATCATTCAGAGCTTAAAGCAAAAGGAACTGAAAATTTAAATGCAGGTATGATGAATGCCTCAAACATCAAATTCTGTTTTCATAATTTTCACATTGTAAATGAGTCAATGAAACACTTTATCGATTACAAATGTAAATTATTTTACAGTGGTTCTATTCTTTACTATTATTCTGCATTAAAATGGAAAGTTAAAGAATATCTTTGTTTGGTTTTGTTTGAGACAGTGTTTTATGTAGTCCAGGGTAGCCTCAAACTCTCTGTGTAGCTAAGGCTGAATTTCTGATCCTCCCACCTTAGTCTTCCAAGTGCCAGGATTACAGGAGTGCATTGTCCTAAGAATAATCTTGGTGAAATACTGAAAATATTAAATATTGACTCTAGAGTACTTGTCTATTTAATATTCAGTGTGATGAGATGGTATGTGCCTCTAACGCAATTCTTCTACATACGAAAATACAGTCACTTTCTTTAAGAAAACTATTTACATGACTGATAAATTTGGGAGTGGAAATAGCCACTTTCCCCCCCATAGAACACCACTTTTTTACTTGAAAAATAATGGTTATTTGGATTTGGCAGGAGGGTGCATTTTTTATATGAATGAAATAAACATACAACTTCAAAGACAGCAATTGACAAATGAAATTTGAATTTAAAAACATTTTGTTTTTTTTAAATTTTATATGCCGGGCGTGGGGGCACACACCTTTAATCCCAGCACTTGGGAGGCAGAGGCAGGTGGATCTCTGAGTTCAAGGCCAGCCTGGTCTACAAAGTGAGTTCCAGGACTGTCCTCCCAAGTGCTGGGATTAAAGGTGTGTGCGACCAAGCTGGCTCAAACTATATTTTTCTGATGAGATGGTGTGACATGAACATGCATCAATTGGACATTACTTAATGAAATTCATCAACATTTGAAGATCTGTGGCCACTTTTTTTCCCAAATGATCAAAACATGATCATAAAAAAGTTTCTAAGTGCAAAACAGATCAACTGGAAAGTCACTAGTTAGATTTGTCATGGCAACTAACCCTTAGGAAACATCCACTTCTGAGTGTTGGTTTAGCATTAAAGCAGATATCCACAATTATCTTAAAATTCTCCATTTTGACTATGTGTTTTTATGTGTGAAGATGGATTTTTTTTCACTTATTTCAACCTAAACATCACATCCTACCACAACGAATGCAGAGGCAGACATGAAAACCCAGATGTCCTCCATTAAAGCCAGTTATTGAGACTTGAATAATGTAGTATGCTAATCTGCTCCCTATTTTTTGCTTTAGAAAATACTAGGTTTTTAAATGAAGTAGTAAATGAATATTTTAGTTTTTAACATGTTATATAATAATAGGTATTCATTAAAAAGCTCCTTGAGATCTTTAACAAGATTTAGGAGTCAAATGGGACCTCAAGATCAAAAGTTTGAGAACCACTGCTTTAAATACTAGAAAGTGTATCCTTAACTTTCTGTAGTCTTCTGTTCTTTATTCTACAATGGTTATCTATACCATATAGAAAATGACCCATTACATCTACACACATAAACCTCACATGTGTTTTTAAAAAATGAAATTATGTTTTCCCACATATTCACTATGGTGGTCTTCGTTTGTTTCTGAAGAGCTGGAATTCAAGCCAGTTCATTTCTTCTCAGCTTGTGGAATATTCTTAGCACTTCATATAATAAAGGCATGTTTATAGGGCTGGTGAGATGGCTGAATGGTTAAGAGCACTGGCTGTTCTTGCAGCAGAGAACCAGGGTTCAGCTCCCAGTGTCTACATAGTGGCTAACAACTATCAGTAACTCCAGTTCCAGGGGATCTGATGCCCTCTTCTGGTCTCTGCAGGCATTGCATGGCATGGGTATACTTGCATAAGCAGGCAAAACATGTATACACATAAAATAAAAATAAAGGCACACTTGTAATCACTTTAGTTTTCTTTTACCTGAAAATATTATTTCTTTGCTGTTCTTTAAGAATATTTTCACTATAGATTTCTGAGTTGACAGATTTTTTTTCCTTCCAGGATTTAAAGATGTTTCCATGCCTTTTGGCCTCCATTATTGTTAAGTTACCACTTGACTCACTATTCCTGATGTGTGCAATCCATTTTTCTCTAACTGCTTTCCAGATTTTTTTTTCCATTTTCCACATAAAGCAATGTGACTATGTTGAACATAGATGCTTTCTTTATATTTGTCCCGATTAAATCAGCATTGCTAAGCTTCTTGAAATTGCAACTTTGTTTACAACAAAATCGGAAAAATTTTTTTTTTGTCTTTTTGAGACAGGGTCTCCCTGTAGCCCCAGCTGTCCTGGAACTCACTATATAGACCAGGCTGGCCTTGAACTCACAGAGATCCCCCTGCCTCTGCCTCCCAAGTGCTGGGATTAAAGGCCTGCGTCACCATGCCCGGCTGAAATTGGAAATTTTAAGTCATTATTTTTTCAGATACCTTTTCCAGCTTCATTTTCTTTCTCGTTTCCTTTGTTATTCTAATTATACATAAGTAGTTCATGAGGCTTTGTTCATTTTATTTTGATTTTCCCCCTTACTACCCTGTTATTGAGATTGTATAATTTCTACTGATTGATTTTTAAGTTCACTGATGCTTCCTCTTTGTTAAGCACAAGTGACGTGTTTAATTTCTAGAATTTCCACTTGCTTTTAGTTTCTGTTTCTCTTAAGACTTCCTATTTAACCCAAAGGTGTTTTTCTTTATATCTTTGAGCATATTATGAAATTGTGTCTGATACCCGAATCTATGTCCTCTGGAGGTGGGGGGTCTCTTGCTCTTTTTACTGTTTATTCAGTTTAGCTTTTTGTGTAAGTATACATCTTTCTTGTTTCTTCATATTAGCTTGTGTCCTGGACATTGTGGAAGATGTATTTTGAGGTGCTTGGGTCCTGTTATATTCCTCTGAAAACTATTCATTTTAGCAAACCACAAAGTTTGCTAGATTTATATCTCAAACTGTTTCTCTTGCATAGATATCTGCTAAAATTTATTCTAATTCCTTTATCATTAATTGTACCACCTAGAGTCTGTCTTGAATATCTCAGGTTCTAGACAAAAATTTGGCATAGTTTATAATCAGAATATGTGGTTTCTATTATGTGGCTGTCTTCTTCCAGAAATTTCCCAGTTATTTTCCATCTTCAGTAGTTATGAGAATTTTATCTTCTGCATTTTCAAGTAGTAAAAACAGTAAATTTCACATTTCGGCTACCTCAGGGATGAGACCTCAGGCTACAAGCTGTACAAAGCAGGAAGTTGATTCAGGGTCCCTTCCTAAGTGTTGCTCTCTAGTACCTTGAGTGGTTTTTATATTTTACCCAGAACTTGTCATACTCTGTGGAAATTTGATCCAATAGGAGCAATTTCAGTCATTATCAGAAGCAGAAAGTTGCACATATTTTTTCAAATAATCTCCCAGATGCTATCTCCCTTTTGAAATTAAAATGCCCAACTAAGCATTAAAACTGAGGAAAGTATTTTCAATAAATTAAAATATGTTTTGATAATTCTAACACTTGGGCAGTTTCAGAAGCAATTTCATGCTAAGGCACAAGATTAGATCTCTGAGCTCTATGACCCTGACATTACAGCCTAGATAGCTTTTATTGGGTGGACCTTCTGTTCACAGAAAAACAAATCAGTTCTGAAAATGTAGTAGAGTCTAGAGGCATGGGGAAAAAATAACTTGAGTGTTGAGGTCACCTTTCTTAAGCTACTTCATATGAAGTAGTACCTTTCCCAGCTGTGGAAGATTCTATTTTACAAACAGCATATGCCTGCATTTTAAATGCAAATATAGAATCAGGATGATTCTGTATTTTGTGCACATAAACAGTACCACCTGTCATGAACCATCCATGAAGTGCAGACTAATAATAAGTTATTCCTAAAGTAAAAAAGGGACAACTCTATAAATTTTTCAAAGCAAATTGGCCCACATGAGCACACAGAGATATTAAAATCAAATCAGGAAAACCAGGTCTTGAGAACTTACTGAACGTAACAGACCAAGAAAGGATGCAACACCTTTACCTGAACTTCATAAAGAGGACACTTAACACTGAGAAGGTGATGGCCTCTACCAAGCTGCCATCTGACCATATGGATAAAGGGATCAACAGAGAGAAAACTCCAGACTGTCACGGGAGTTTCCACATGGCTCAGCTCCACTGCTGATATGGCCTACTCAAATTGCAGACTGCTATCACCAGTTTGTCTTCATACATGTACAAAGGTAATTATCACACTTTTCTATGTGTGTGGTGATTGAATCCAGAGTCTTCTGTTATGCCCCCAAGTCCTAAAACAACCCTTAAAGGTAGGGGGCTGAAGAGATGGCTCAGTGGTTAAGAGCACTGGCTGCTCCTGCAGAGGACCTGGGCTTGATTCCCAGCACCCACATGGTGGCTAACAACTATCTGTAACTCCGGTTCTGGGAAATCTGACACCCTCTTCTGACTTCCATGGGTACTACATGACACAGGTGCACTTATATACATGCTGGCAATACACTTAAACACATAAAATAAAAATAAATACAATATTAAAAAAAAACAAACCTTAAAACTGGGCTTGGTGGCGCACGCCTTTAATCCCAGCACTTGGGAGGCAGAGGCAGGTGGATCTCTGTGAGTTTGAGGCCAGTCTAGTCTACATAGCGAGTTCCAAGTCAGCTGGGGCTACAGGGAGACCCTGTCTCAAAAAGACAAAAAA